GCGGTTTATTCAAACGCCTCATAGAACGACTGATGCGGAGCAGCTCTTCGGGAACCAGCTGAAAGATGTCCCGGGACGGTGAGGAAGGTTGTTTAACGGCCTAGAGCTGCGGGAGGAGCCGCCGCCGCCGCCTCCGCTTCAGCAGCGCTTTGGCTTTGGGGTATGGCGTTTGCGGCGTGGCGCGGTTTTTGGTTGTTAGGTTTTGTGGTGACTAGGGATGTGCTGTTCGGCGCCGGAGCCTCAGAAAGTTAATTGCGAGTAAGTATTGCCCTTTGCCGGGAGAGAACTTGCCCAGATGGAAATCTTTTCTCAGATGAGAGGAGTTAGGGCACGCACCTTGCCTTCTGGTTTCTCAGGCTTTTCCTGATTGCTTGAGCTTGTAAATACGCTGGTAGCAAGGTTCCCTGCGGATACTGCCTCAAAACTGCAAGGGAGTAAACTACAGGTTGCTTCTTTTGGTTCCGCTCTGTTTCCCTAGGCCTCACGTAAGGACGGCTGAGCGACACTCGAAGTAGCTTCTGAAAAGTGCTGCATACAGCTTCACGTTAAAGGAAATTAGTATTGATTTGAGGTTATTTTAATGTTTTGGATTGTAGAACTGTATTAGTGCAGAAACTGCTAGGTGCACTTAGCTCAGTCCTGTTGGAGGAGGGCCAACTGAAAATACGGTTGAAGTCAAAAGGCAAACAGTTGTTTCGGCAAGAAGTTTCATTAAAATATTTACATAACTTCATAAGCTGTATACAGTTAACATCGTGCTACATAGACGCTGTGGTGTTTTCAGTGGCTTTGGTTTTGTAACCATTTTATCTCTGATTTAGTTGGTACATATGAATGGGAAATGGATATGTTTAGATTTACACTAAGTTATTTCTAAAGCATGCAGTGCAATGTAAACGGCTTCTTTTTTTTCTTAAGAGAAAGTATATTTTATAAGCCACCTCCTTTAAAATAACTTAATTGACTTTGGTAAGTCTGTGTGCACCTGTATTTGTACAGTTTTTAATGCTATTTGGAAGCCAAACATTTCATCTGTAGAGAGAGATTTGCTAAATATCTCCATTAAAGCAAGCTTTGTAAGTGGAAATTACATTCATGTCAAAAGCTTCTAGCTGTTTCTGTATCTCTTGCAATCAAATAGTGAAAGTCTTGCTGTAATTCTTTCCTAAAAGATGCATATGGTAAAAATCAAAAGCTTATAAAACCGTGGTTGTTATACTTGGACAGTAAAGGACATTTTTATTTTGGCACCAAACTCCAAAGTTTTTTTTAAAGCCTTTTCAGTTGATGGGTTACTTATGTCAAATTTACGCTTCAGTTAAAGTGGTCTTGCAGATAGCTGTTTTAAGCTAGCATGTGAAAAGCAGAAATCGAGTAGTAGTCAAATGTTTGTATAATCAGTTGTTTAAATTGTTTTAAAAGAACAGAAAATGATAATTGGATTTAAAACACTTCTTAATCATTATCCTGATGACGTGTATTTGAAATACTGTCATACAGCACAAATTCACAGTTTGAAGTCCATTGGGAAAATCAGCTGCAGAATTCTATTTTCTAGAGTGAATGATGATCATGTCCACCATAAAGGAATCATTGTTTGGATATTTTACTTAGAAATTTCTGGATTTAGTTGGCTGTATTTTCTTTTTCTTTTTTTTAGTTAGTTTGGTCTTTAAAATTTGAACGTTGTGTTTGCAACTTTTTTGTATAGTTCAGATATTAAGAATTTACAAAACCTAGTTACCCAAATAGTAGTTTGAGAGAAGAAACAAAAAGTTTATGTACCTGAGAACATGGGCTTTATACTGTGTACAATGGGATCTGGAAGCATTCAGATTTCCAGCTCCATAAATTACCTGTTATCACTAGAAAGTTGTGAGAGGTTAAACCTCAACATCATAATGGCTTTGAGCTTGTCTCCCTCTTCCCCCTTTTACATTCTCAATAACTTCTACAGCCACTTCTAGGAGTAATCAGACCATGGATTCCTGGTCTTAACTAACAGAAATCTTGGTGCAATTTGTATGTGAATGTTAAGTGTTGTGACATCAGCTTCTGGAGTTTTGTTATGAATGAATTTAGAATTATGGAGATGAAGGGAAGGAAGATAAAGGAACCAGTGGCGTAGTGTTTGACGGTTTGTGTGTGTGGAGGTGGTGTGTGTGTGTTTGTTTGAAATCTGGTAGAATTAAGAGTACTTTTATCAGTACAGATATATCAAAGCCAAAAGGTCATTCAGAAACTGAAATGTGGGTTTTAGTTTGTTTTGGTTACTGTATGTGTATGCTAGTATGTCTGTACGACTTCTAAGTATAGCTACTCATACTGTCTTATTGCTTATGCCTTATTAAATATAGTTTAGGTTTTCAGTCTCTCTTCATATGTGCCTGTTTAATCTCTTCCCCCCCCCATTCTTTCTGGTTACAATTTTTAAATGCACAGACTGGACTTTAGAGTGTGTAGTGAAAGCTTTCTTAGATTCTTGTATGCTGCTGTTAGCAGTGAAGGCCTGATTAAACCCATGATTTCACCTGTGCAGACTGTGTGGTATTAATGATTGAGTTGGTAAACAAGGTACAAATTAAATGAAACAGTTCACTGACCTCTTTTAGCTTGCCAAGGATCAAGTATGTAAAAAAAAAAAAAAAAGTTGCTTTATTGGCAGGAATTTCTTAGAACAAAACGAACAACTTAATCTGATAAAGCAGTGGAACGCACAGTTATTTAAGTGAACTTTTTCAATAAAGTAGCTCTCAAACCAAAGACAACCAAAGGAGCAGCAGAATGTTTTCTGGACACTAGAACAACAGCTGTACTGTATCAGTCTGTATGTCTGTTTAGCTTAGCATCTTGTTTCAGAGGCAGACGCTAGTTTATGCATCGGAAAAAGCATAAAACCAGTAGCTTTTGTTAGGAAGTTGCTGCTCTTCGGCAGAAAAAAATATTTGTACTGTATTTAATCAAGTTAAAATTCTGAATGTCTTTTTGCAGAGAATCAGAATGACTAAAAAAAGGAAACATCAAGAAGATTTCCAGAAAGTGAAATTAAAAGTTGGGAAAAAAAAACCTAAACTAGAGAATGCAACTGATACTACCTTCAAAACAAAGGCCATACAAATTCCTGAGCAGCTTAAAGAAGATGGAGTGCTTCCTACACAAAATAGAAAACTTAACATAAAGGTATACTGTGACATGACATTCTGAAATAACAGAAGATTACTTGTCATTTATCTAGGTTTACTGTTTACTAGAGTTTGGGAAGAAAAGATTTAGTTGAAAGAGAACCAACTTAAAAAAAACCCAGCAGAATATCCAAATACCACCTTTCTGTCCTTGACAATAAGTTGACCCGTGATTTTAATAAATTGCTGGACCAGCATATATATAACTCAAGGGAAAGGTTTTCAGTAGTGCAAAAGCTACAGTTGCACACTTATTTAAGTGTCTAGGATTAACCTTCTGGTTTTGAAAGTCTTGGATCATAACTTAAGGACAGGGTTTTAAAAGGGAGACTTCCCGAGATGACGTTTTTAAAAACATTTGTATTTCTTTGGGGGGTGGTTCTGCTTTTCTTCTTTTTGTGCGATCTATTTCTTGCAGCTCTGTTTAAACTGAAGAAAGCTGTTGAGACTGAGAAGTCATAGTTCTGCTTTTGAGAACAAGTGTGAGAGGACTTATTTTTGGTCATCCCTTTAAGTCAGTAGGGCTGTGCATAAACTTAATGAGGATTACCTAATTACAATTACCTAATTCTAATTACTTGAAGGACAAGTCATGGTATCTTGTTTTTCCTGTCATTGAATTTTGATTATTTGTTCAATGTTACGCTTTAAACTAATATTATATTTGTTCTGAACATATCATGCTGCTATGAACAGTGGTACCTTGTGAGAATAGATTTTGTATTTTTGAAAGAAACGTGCTGGAAATAGGTGGAGAAGTTTAAAGAACTTAAAGTAATAATGATATCAAGTGTTTATGTTTCTTTCCTTTTAGGATCTGCTTTCACAGATGCATCACTATAGTCCTGGGGTGAAGCATAATGCACTTCTTGGGCTCAAAGATCTCCTGTCTCAGTATCCATTTGTAATTGATGCACACCTTTCAAATATAATAAGTGAGGTGGCAGCTGTGTTTACAGACAAAGATTCTGGTGTCAGAGGAGCAGCTGTTCACCTGCTGCAGTTCTTGGCTTCAAAAATAAGAGCGGAACAGATTGCTCCATTTTTTCCTTTGGTAAGTGCCCATCTTTCCAGTGCCATGACTCATATCAGTGAGGGGATTCAGGAAGATTCATTGAAAGTCTTGGACATTTTATTGGAAGCATACCCAGCTCTTCTCACAGACCGCAGCAGTATATTGTTGAAGAATTTTGTAGAGCTTATTTCTCACCAGCAACTGTCAAAAAGACTGAAAAACAGAGAAAAACTTTCCTGGATGCTCTCTGTTAACCCAAATCGCAGAGTAACTTCTCAGCAGTGGAGGCTGAATGTACTTACCAGGCTCAAGAAGTTTCTCCAAGCAGTGGTAGATGGATCCAGTGAAATAGAGGATGAAGGGCTTCAAGAACAAAAGGATAGCCCTCATTCTGTGAGGAACCCAATATATATAAGTTGGAAGGTCCATGCAAATAATCAGCAACATATACAACTGTTCGAAAATGGTGGCTTACGACCAAAGATCAACTCATCATTTAGACTGAGGTGAGAAAATGTTAACTGATTGGGGAATTATTGTCAACTGTACGATTGCAATGTTAAACTGTGGTTTGTTGCTGTTGAAGGCAACTGTTTAATTTTTAGTGTGGGGTTGTCCCTTAGCCATATTTTAGGATATTTAGCATAATGTGCAGTCTTATTGCAGTGACTTGAAGATATGGAAATACCCAGCGGGTAACTGCTATACGTATATCATGAATTCTGCTGTTACCAAATAAAAGCTTTATTTTATGCTATTTGTAGTAACTTTGGAAGACCGTCTCTAGCAGGTTTTTTTTTGAATGCCAACTGAGGAGTACAGGTTGTTGCAGGATATCAAATGACCTGGGGGCAAGCAGGCCCATTTCTTTACATTAAACATAAGCTTGTTTCTTACACTATGGTAATGAATTTTACTGAAATTTTGTGGTTTTACTTTCAAGAGTCTATCATAAGTTTAAGAGTCTCTTTTCTTTGAATATAGCTCCTTTTAAAAAGGACAGCATAATGAGATGTCTGACTGTATAAAGTTCTGCTGAGTTTCCGATTCTAGGTATTTTTAATCAGTTCATCAGTTTACATCTTCACTATGGATAAAAGCTGTCTCATCTGAGACATGTTTATGAGTGTGGAAGAAAGCATAGTGTGCTTAGTCACATGCTTGTGTGTTTTTTAGTAGTGCTCTAAATAGATATGAGCTGAAGTTAAGGGAGAAATAACTAACCATTTTTATTTATCTTCCTCCTTTCTGATTCACCCGTTCCTCAAACTAAAGGGGAGCCTCCCACACCACTTTAAGGTACCTTTTAAAGATTGGCATCCTCGTGTATATACGTTACTATAGGCGTTACATAGCTGCTGGTAGGAGACCTGGAATGAACGACTTGAAAAACGGAAACTGTTTAGCCGTTGGACAGCACTTCTAATCCATAGTTATCAAGGTGGTTTGAAGAGAAACCACAATCCTTATTTTACTGCTGGAGGAGACTGAACAAGAGGTAGAAAGCAGTTATACCAAATTCATCTAGGAGGTCAGTGGCAGAAAAGGGTATAAAACCCACTGCCTAGTCCATTGCTATGTCCATCTCATATCTTTGAATGAATGATGTGCAGAAGAAGGTGTTCTCTTTTAATACCACAGGTGTTGGCCTGAATTAGCAGGTGTTTTCCATCTCTGTTGTGGAGACACAGAAAGGACTATTCCATTCCCACTCTCCTAGGCTTCCTCTCAGTAGATAGCATATTACTTGTGGTAGGTACAGGAAATTTATATTAAGCTGAATAAAATGTGCAGCTTATTCTCATAAAAGTGGTTGTTAACGTAGCATAAAAGTTCAGTCATGACCAACAATATCTGCTGCAGGTAAAGCTTTAGTTGGAAACTAGACCACTGATGCCCACTTGAGGCAGGGGGAGGGTTTCACTGCTGAGCACGAAACAGTCCTATGGACTTCATCTCTGCAGTCAGAAGCATACAATCGTGGACCACCGTTTATCAGAGGATTTTTGTATTTTGCCCTGAATGATATGCAGTGTGTGATATACCATACCCTGTAATAGCTGAAGATGCGTTGTATCCAAGGTCTAGGAAAATAGACTTTACATCTGATGTCACCTGAATTGGATTCGGCTTTTCTGAGGAGCTAAATTTTGGTGAAACATCGTGATCCACTTGTAGTTATAAATACTTTCAAAAAGGCGTTTGCAAGCATGAGGAGGAGCCAGAAGAATAGAAGGAAACATTGCTAGAATCCAAGGCGAGATTGGCAAAGCAAAATGATGGCAGCAGAACAGAAGAATGGAAGGAGAAAAGGCATCTGCAGAAGGTACTAAAATGTTCTCATTTTAATGTATTTGCGCATATTTTTGGTGTATTCGTTTTGCACAAAGGGCCAGTACAGCTTGTTTTAATGGATATCTGTAAAATTCGAAGACTGGAAGTTACTGTGGTAGCTTTTGTATTTGTCACTAAAATCTTTTCTAGTAATCTGAAGACGTATAATTCTGTCTCTTCCAATCCCAACTGTGGCCTTCTACAGGCATTCCTGGGCCTCTGCTGTGGCCATTACTGCAAGGACAGAAATTACTTCTAATAAGCAGTGCAAAACGTCTGTAATGCTCCTTGAGTACTTCCAAAATCTCGAACAGTGTGTGTGTGTTCTTGTTTAAAGAAGTCAGTGCGCAAACAGCCAAGTCCTAACTGTAGCTAGAGTTGACCAAACCACAAGTAACTAATTGCAGTGTGTATGTAGTGATGCGGCCATCAGTAATAGTGCAAGTAAGTTTCAACTTAGTTCTTTAAAAAGTAGGGTTCCAAACACCACTAATAGTATGCTAAAGTTGCCGCATCCTTTTAGTCTTGCAAGTTCATCAGGTAGGGATGACACCTCATTGATAACCTAGTGATTGCAGAAGGGGATTTTCAGAATCAGCTAGTAGTATTTTGGTATGTTTAGTAAAAAGTGTAGATTCTGAGCTTGGAATGCTGGATGGTTCAACAATGCAAATCTTAAGACTTGATTATTTTCTGTGTGTGCTAGGTCTTCCTACTGTGTGTGAATGAAAGATTACAGTGAATTAGGACACTATTAGAATATATCCTCTGCCTTATGTGCTGACTTTTTTGCTTTTTGCATCAAATCATTTCAGGTGTGGAAAAATGGAAAGTCTTCACAACTTAAACATGGTGATACCAAAGTGTGTGATTTTTTTTTTTTGGAATGGAAGTGATGCTGAAGAGAAATAGTAGAGCTTCTGTTTCTGCTGAGAAAGGACAAAATGCAGCCGCAGAGAAAAGCAGAGAAGACTTGAGAGACAAAAATGGAAGACTAAGCATAGTGAATAAATATGTATACGGTGTGACCTGTGCATCAGAAATGGGGAAATACAGTCCACCTGGTGTACTGAATGTTTCTTTCCTGCAATTGGCAGTGCACACAAAAAAGAAGAGGAGGACAGTTACCTGGCTTAGAATTTGAACCATAAAAACTTACTAACTTCCAATGACTTTTCCTGTTTTAAGCAGCAGAAAGTTGTTTCCTTATTTTTTGTTTCTTTTACACTTCCTTGACATCCCTTTGCTGAATTTATGTTGTCCTTTTACTGTCAAATAGCAAATATGTTATGCAGTTTTGTTCTGTTTCGTCCTGCTTCATGAAAATACTGGAGTTTGAAGAAAAATGACATCTTAAGGGGTACAGAAATATCTTGCAGCTCCCCTTAGTAGTATTCCATACTCATATGGAGGTAATATGTTTTGTGGTGTTTGAGAGCCACCTTACTGTTAAAGAATAGTGATAACAGATATGTGACAAAAAGGTTAATACTTTAATTGACATCTAACCCTCCCAGTTCCAGTGAACCTGTATTGCTAAGGATATTGCATTAATCAAATGCATACTGCACAGATTACTGTAATATTTTGTCATCATCTTTTACTGGCAATCAGATTTTATTTACTCCTTTCTAATCTTGAGTATTTGGAGGAGCCTTACCTTGAGAGATGGGGGCTTCTTTTGCAAGAGTACATGAAAGCTATGCTAAGTATTCTTGCCCAAATGCTTTTGGTAGCTGGGTGGAGTATTCCTTTTGGCATGGATTCTTCCTTCTTTTTCCATCCCTTGTTTCTGAAAAGTGCTGAAGTAGTTGGGGGGATGTGTGTGTTGCCAACTTCACAAGTTTCGTGCACGGTTCATTGTTTAATGGGGAGATTTTTTGTATTCCAGAAATCAGTTGCTTGAATTCCAGAGTTCCACTGTAATATCAGGTATTATTTTCAGATAAATGATTACAGACTACTACTTCAGAACTATTTCAGCCAATTACTGACATTTCAGAATCTTGGCTGAGTGTGTAGTCCTGTCATGGAATAGCATTTACAGGACAACCTAACTTTTTCAGCGAGGTTATGGTCTTGGTATCAACTGGCTTGCCCAGTGACACTTCAGAATTCATTGTGGTTATAACTGGAAGATGGAATTTGTCTACTGTGTCTTTAGATGACTGAGAGTTAAATGTCTAAGTTTGAACCATTCACCCTAAACTCACTTTATAATCTGAAAGAAACTGATGTCTTTACCGCACTGTCTGCAGCCATAGAAGGGGCATAGAACAACAAAAAAGGGACAAGTAAGCCAAACTACATTGACTGCATACATTGATTGCTGCAGTTAATGCTAAGTTTTATACTGTTTTAAGATGTCTCATAGTCGTAGTAGGTACTAAAGATAAAACTAAATTTTTTTTCTTAGGACCAGTTATGTTTCCGCTTGTCTATTTTATTTTGTGCTGGAGATCTAAATTCTCTCTCCCATCTTGCCTTCATTGAAAAAGAGCCTGCATTTCTCTCTCACTTTCTTCTTATTCTTTTGCAGATGTCTTCTCCCTGCTCCTTTTACAGGTTGTTTTTTTTTTTTAATACCTGGGTTTGTTTTGGTTTAATAATTTTTTTGAGATAGCAATTTCAACTAGAGAGAAATGACAGAGTAAAATTTTCTATTTTGTGCATATTATAGATGATTGCAACAGCATGAGAAATGTAGCTTGGATAATTTGGAAATGACAGGATGACCAGAAAAAACTGCTTTACCTCTTTAATCCAATATGGAATTAAGATATTTATAAACAGAACTTCTCTGCCTGTCTGTGGAAAGAAGGCAAATAGTTTTTCAGATCCTATTTTGGGTGTATATGTGAAGAAAAATCACTTGGAGAACATTACTGAAATAGGAAGGAGTGTAACAGGAGGTTCAGCGCACCAATTTTGTGTATATTAGGAAGTTGGCATTATGATAGAAATTCCCTGCTGTGAGTAAGAAAACAAAATCATCATGGAAAACAATGTCAGAAATCACTTGAAATTGCTGGGTGTTTTGTTGTTGGGCAGTTTTTTGTGGGCTTTTTTTGGTTTTGGGTTTTTTTAAGGGCTCTTGTTATTTGGAAGGCCTTTCAGAAGCTTCTGTGTTGCTTAAGAGTTATTCTAGGGTTTCTTTCGTTAAAGAACCTTCTTTTTGAAATGGATACAAATTGCCTGAATTTATCCAGGAGCATGATTTGGTGATTTCTGCTAAGCCCTTGTGAAACACAAAGAAAGTGTGTTATAAGGGGCCAGGGCCGGGGGGGGGAAGTAATTGGTTTCTGGGAGATGTTATTTTAATTTAAACTATATCTCTTCATTTTTATATAATTGTTCTTTAATTTCATTATCAGATCATTTTAATAATTTTCCAGCTAGTTTCTCTCTGGAGCATTATAGTTAAACATCAAGTCGGTTAGATTTTCTGCAGAATGATTTTTATTTTTTTACCCCTGTTAATATGAACAACCGTTATGTTTATTATAGCTGAAGATGGTTATTAACTGTAATAAACCTCATGCATTTGACAATACTTTTTTAGTCAGTTTCATTATTTTGCTTCAAGGAGCTTAAAACTTAAAGCTTTTTAAATTTTGTTGTGATGAGTACAGTGAATTCTTACCTGTTGGTTGAAGGTGATATGATAATGCAAATCACATTTCTCCACTTTACAGACTTTACATATAACAATGGAGAAAGAAACACTGAAATCTAAGTTGTTGTTACAGAAGCACACAAACTTGCAGGGAGGCTCGGGAGCAGGTTTGTTGTAGATGGCTTCAACTCCCTTTTTTTTCTTACTGAAATATCTAGTAAGCAAGCAAACATTTAATGTGTTGAGAAATTAATTTTTCCTGGTGTTCAGAAAACAGGAAAGTGGTATTGCTGTAATCTGTTTTTAAAGGTGTGATCTTTATCTTTTTTCTTTTTTTTTTTTTTTTTTTGCTTTTGTCGTTTAGGTCTCTGGCAAGTGTAATGGACAGTGCAGAAAAAGGCCTGTCCTCGGCTGAAAACTTGAAAGGTTTTATTGAGATAATAATTCCATTACTGATTGAGTGCTGGATTGAAGCATCTCCTGCACAATCAGCTCCCATTCTTGGAAACCTTTTGGAATCAGAATATCAACAGCTTATGCAGCAAGTGCTTAGTATAATACATTTATTGTGGAAACTCACAAAGCGACATGATGAAACATACAAAATGGTAAGGGAGAAGTGATCTGTGGCATATTAATGAGAGTTCTTTGTTTTGGAAGCTAGTGATTTGGTGATTGGAAGTAGTGGAAATATTTTATTAGAGAAGCAGCCTAGGTTTTGAGTAAAATTTGAGTTTGGATTTGTCAAATCTCTTACTGTAGAAAATAATCTGTTGAACTGAGCAATAAGTTCACCAGTCGTCTTCAGGATCCTTGACAGACTGCAGCGCAAAAGCTTTTGAAACTGAAAGTGATATTGGAAAAGAGGAGCATTCTGTCTCCCAGATAACGTCTAGAATATAAATTTGAAGAAAGCATAGATTGTCGGTGTTCCTTGTTCTTACATGTTGAAAAATTTTATATATTGGAGGGGATTGGAAACAAACCAACCCTAAACCCTTAGAAAGGTAGGGGGTAATGGTGGTATGAGATGCTGTAATTGCTTGGTGCAACCTACATGATTGGTAGTATCACAAGACTCAAAACCTCAGTAAGAATTTTGGAAAACATCCTTGAATGTTTTTGCCATAATTATTTTGTCTTTTATAAATGAATTGCTATTTTTTTACTTTTGCTGCTCTT